TCTATCTATCTATCTATCTATCTATCTATCTATCTATCTATCTATCTATCTATCTACTATCTGTCTATCTACCTATAATCTATCTATCTACTATCTATCAATCTATCATCTACCTACCTACCTATCTTCTATCTATCTATCTATCTATCTATCTATCTATCTATCTATCTATCTATCTATCTATCTTTTTCTGAAACAGGGTTTCTCTGTAGCTTTGGAGCCTGTCCTGGAACTAGCTCTGTAGACCAGGCTGGCCTCGAACTCACAGAGATCCACCTGCCTCTACCTCCTGAGTGCTGGGATTAAAGGCGTGCGCCCCCACCGCCTGGCATGTCTATTTATTTTGTAGAAGATAAGAAGGGCAGGCCCTTGTTGCAGCACACATGGTAACTTGCAGGACTCAGTTCTCTTTCTACCATGTAGGTCTCAGGTATCAAATTTGAGTCGTCAGGCTTAGAGGCAAGCACCCTTACCTGCTGAGCCCTCTCACTGGCCCCAAAGCTTCTTTGTGAGAACTGAATGACCTGGTGTCTTGTGGTATTAGGGCTCTAACTCAGGCCCCTGCTGTACCAGCAAAAGGTCTACCACTAATACACCCCAACTCAACTTCTACCCAATATCTGGCCTTCAAAAAAAAGCAGACATTGCTGGGTGGTGGAGGTGCACACCTTTAATCCCAGCACTCAAGAGGCAGAGGGAGGTGAATCTCTGTGAGTTCAAAGCCAGCTTGGCCTACAGAGCAAGTTCCAGGACAGTCAACACTACATAGAGATAAACCTATCTCAAAAAAAAAAAAAAAAAAAAAAAGAAAGCCAAAAACAAAAAACAGATCTTGAGGTCTTGAGGGTTGAGGGTGAGATGACTCACTGGTAAGTTGATGTACAGAGCCCACATGGGACAAAGAGATAACTGATTCAATAGCTGGATAAATAATTATAAATGTATAAATAAACGTGAAAGTAAATGTTGAGCAATTAACCTTTTACTTGGTACTAGGATGGTGCCCAGGGCCCCTGTATGCAAGGCAGGCATCCTGGCACTGAGCAACACCCCTACCGAAGCACATGAATCAAATGTAAAATTCACTTCAATCGTACTTGCCACATTTCCATGTGGCTGGTGGCGACCCTACTGGCTGGAGGGCAAGCCTATTGCTGGTGTACGGTGTGCACTCTCTGTGGGTGGGAGCCGCCTAGGCACCTGTAGGTAGAGTACAAAGGCCAGCCGCTCCTGGTATTTGCTGTTCTCCGGCTCGTAGGAGTAGGCCCTGCGCAGGTTCTGCAGGGCGGAGGAGAAATCGCAGAGCTGGAGGAAGGCCTCAGCACGGAAAACATAGAAGTCTGCCTGAAAACAGAGAGACCCAGGCTGCTGTGTCCTCCCATGTGCTAGGATGAAAGGCGTTGCTGGGCGGTGGTGGCACACGCCTTTCATCCTAGCACATGGGAGGCAGATGCTGGCAGATCTCTGTGAGGTTCAGCTGGTCTACAGAGCTAGTTCCAGGACAGGGTCCAAAGCTACACAGAGAAACCCTATATCGGGGGTGGGGGGGAATTTGAAGGGTCCAGGGAGGAAGGGTCTAGCAGGTATGTCATGAGGGGGGCTTCCCTCCTCTTACCAGGTCGGGGTTCAGGTGGAGAGCGCGGGAGAAGAAGAGCACGGCCGTCTCCCAGTCCTCGTGTTCTAGGCTCTGATGGCCTTGGTGATAGCTGTGAGGACAGAGCATTCAGGAGTGGGGCTGGCCTACACGGGACAGGTGGGAGGGAGGGCTGAGGTAAAGAGGCTGGAGAAGCAAGCAGCGTTCCAGGAGGGCAGGCTGGCCTTCTTGGAGCTCTTTCAGCTCTTTTTTTCCTTTTATCGATTAGTGTTCACTGAGGCCCAGAAGGGACAGCAGCCAGCCCGGGGCTGTACTCCATGTTAATGGTTGTGAAGCAGGAACCTGGGGCTGGGGACATGGAAGTCACTCACTACTCTCTGACTTTGACAGGTACTGTTGATCCTCCTATCCTTGGTTTCTTATCAGCGCTGTAGAACACCTGGCTTGTCCCAAAGATGCGTTGCAGGGTCTTCTCTCGGTCTTCAGGAACATGAACATGTAGTTTTGGAACTTTCTTCGAGTGGGCATTGTCAGGCTCCTAGAAACGAATCGGGTGGGAAGCCTGGAAGGCCTCGGGAGGCACCCCACATCACTTCCACTCTTTTCCCGGGGACTTTGCCTGGTGGAGGAGGTGTGAGAACGGCCCCTGGTAGAAGGAACACCCAGTCTGGGGTTCAACTGTGTTCCAGCATTTCTCTAGCCCTGCCTCTCTCGACCTCTCCTGTGGTCAAGCTCAGGGGGATGAGGGTCCTTGTAGCCCCTGCACCCTCTGCTCTCATCTTGTGCTATAGTTGTGCATTATTCTCAGCGCTCCAGCTCAGACCCTGTTCCACATCTGGGCTTTAAGGTTCCTTGTAAATCCTCTGGGACTCTCACACTCGGCAGGCCACATTGAACAAGCATATCCCCTGACCTCTCACTCCTGTGTGGTTACCCTTCCCATCATCACCAGGATCCGGGCTGGGCGGTGGTAGTACACACCTTTAATACCATTGTAGGATGAAAAGGACCAAGAGAACACACCCTGCCCCTGACCAGACCCTCAGTAGACCTGGGCCAAGGAAAAACATCCTGACCTGAACTTTACTCCAAAACCAGGGCTTGAAATCCCACCAATCCCTGAGCTTGCCCCAGAGTCAGACTGCAAAGATCCACCAATCCCAAGTCACCCTGGAAAGATCTGCTCACACCCAAGAAGCCTCATATAAACTGTACCCTGTTCAGTTTTGTGGCTGCCCCTCATCCTAAAGGGAGCCGCTTTCCCGCATTTTCTCTCCCCACTCTTGAGTGAGGTTTGTAGTGAGGGGTGACATTTTTTACCAGAGTGGAGCCCAGCTGTAGCAGCTTTGGTCAGAGTTAGAGGAAGCAGAATTTTAACATTTTTGCTGGGGAAACTTCCCCTGACAGAGCAAAGTTGTTACACGGGGTTGGGGGGTGGTTGTTACGGGACGGGACTGACACACCTAAACTAAACAGAGCTATAATACTTGGCTGCAGCAAAGCAGAGCAGAACTGTAACATTTTCACTGCGGAAACTTCATTCGGAACAGCTGTTACACTTGCACTGGGGACACCTGGAGCACAGCTGTCAACTGCTGTGCTATCGGTGACGTGGTATTTCTGAGCTCCAACACTTACAACCCGCACTCAAGAGGCAGGCAGATTTCTTTGAGTTGGAGGCCAGCCTGGCCTACATAATGAAACCCTGTCTATCAAAAACAAAACAAGCAGGGCAGAGGTGGCACACGCCCTTTATCCCAGCATTCATGAGGCAGAGGCAGGCGGATCACTGAGTTAGAAAGTCAGGCTGGTCCACATACAGAGCAAGTTCCAGGGCAGCCAGGGCTACAAAGAGAAATACTGTCTTGAAAAATCAAAACAAGTAAAAACCTCTCCTTTCTCTCCTTTGGGAGTAAGCGGCCAATCACCCTTCTCCCCTCCCACATTTCCCGGAAGGGCTTGACCGGCTTCACCCCAGCCCTCACCTGTCTGTTGTCAGTCATGACCGATGACCGGTTTCCAGACTGACCTCGGGCTGAGCTAACTCCCTGGTTCCCTGTCTCCCCTGTTGCTAGGCACCTGCTCCTGGATGCCCAGAGGCTCCGCCCATTTAGCCACGCCTCGAGAGTCCGTAGAAAATTAGTTGGGCGGGCCAAGGCCTACGTCAAGGGAAGAACCAGTCGGCGCTCGGCGCTCGAGCCGAAGGCTGAGCAAAGGTTCCGGGAGGTACAGGGTGACGCGACGACCTGGAACGCACGCAGAGGCCCTCCGGGGCCCGCGCCCCTCCCACTTCCGCCCAGCAGAACCATGGAGGCCGCCTAGCTAGGCCCGGATTGGTCGTCGCTGGAAAGGCGGCGATGCTATTGGCTTAGGGCTGCCCGACGTCAGGGGGCGGGGTCCTGGCCGTGAATTGGGGCGGCATGTTGCGGTCTGGCCTTTTTCGCTCCGGGATGCGGCGGAGTTGGGCTTTGAGACAGTGCGCTTCGGAGGCTCGGTTCCTCGGGAAGCGGTGGCTGGTGAGTGGGGCGTGGGTGACCCGGCTCCGACGCTGCCCCACTGTGTTCCTTGTCAGCCGCCCCCTTTTTTTAACATTTTAAATTTTAGGTCACATTTATTTGTGTGTGCAAGTGCCGTATGGCTGTCAGAGGGCAACTTGGGAGTTGGCTCTAGCCACCGTGTGGGTCCCGGGGATCGAACCTGGGTTGTCAGGACAGCAAGTGCCCTATCTTCTGAGCCATCTTGCCGAACTCCTTGTCAGTTTTTCTACTTAGCTGGATAGGTGACCGGCAATATTGACTGACTCCAAACTTTTAGGAGTTGTGCCTCCGCACCAGGGGTGCGGCACCCCCAGTTTTGTGGGGCCTCCAGGAGTTCCCAGGCTCTTAAACGCTCCTTCCCGACCCTGGCTTTCTTCTCTGTTTCCCGACCACTGGTTAGGGCCCTGTGTGAGATTATCCGATCTGTTTTCAATGGCGTTGCCTGCAGGTGGCTGGCCTGGGGAACCATGGAATGCCCGGCACACGGCACAGCGTGGGCATGGCGGTGCTGGGGCAAATAGCGCGGCGACTAGGAGTGGCGGGGAGCTGGGCTCGTGACTCTCGCTGCGCTGCTGACCTTGCCCTGGCCCCGTTTGGGGATGCCCAGCTGGTACTGCTCCGGCCACGGCGCCTCATGAATGTCAACGGGCGCAGCGTGGCCCAAGCTGGTGAGTTGTGGACTTCATGGGTAAGAGGGCACAGGGACCAGAGAGAGGTTTAAACTGTGACAAGTGCCTGGTGAGCCCCGCTTACTATGCTGAGGACTTGGAAGCCTGTTTCTACATGGGGGTCGTTGTAGTCCCTCTGAGCAGATAGGTAATAACTAGGGTGTTTCCGTGTGCCAAGCGGAGCTGTTTGGACTGACTGCGGAGGACATCTATCTGGTGCATGATGAACTTGACAAGCCCCTGGGAAAGCTGGCTCTGAAGCTAGGGGGCAGCGCGAGGTGAGGCTCACATGTGCTCAGATTTGGGTAAGGATGCTGGCCTCTGATGGGGTGGAGTAGGGTTGCTGAGCCTATCTCTGCTGGCTGGGCTGCTCTGAAGAAGGCCTGGGCAAGGGAAGGGGGCCGCCTCAGGAAGTACTAACTGTTCCTCTAATCCCTTCAAGGGGCCACAATGGAGTCCGTTCCTGCATTAGCTCTCTGAACTCCAGTGTGAGTCTACCCCTCTGCCTTGCCCTGGGTGGGGGTGGCCAGCATGGGTTCCCCAGTATACGTCTCCAAGGCCCCCTTGTTCCTCTGGCACCCCACAGGCAATGCTGAGGCTTCGGGTAGGCATTGGGCGCCCCACACACCCTAGTATGGTGCAAGCCCATGTCCTGGGCTGCTTCTCCCCTGAGGAGCAGGAGCTGCTGTCCCCCTTGCTGGACCAGGCCACCGACCTGCTTCTGGACCACATCCGTGCTCGAAGCCAGGGGCCACCGTCGAGCCTCTGAGACCAGTGGACATATCTACCTGTTTGACGGCCTGCCGATGCCCCGAAGCCCAGACACAGCCACAGGACTGCCATGACACATGTGGTACCCACTGTTTATATAACTTCTGGGTGGCCCTAGGTCACTTGCAGATTGGAAGAGGGACTCTGGCCACCACAGTCTGTTTCTGCCGTGGCTTGGTCTCCCCGTGTGCTACTTACGGTGTAGGAAAGGTTTAGGAAGGCCCAACTTTCTGAATCTTCTGAGAGCGCCAGATGGATAGCTCTGCAAGATTAAAAGATGCTTGCTTGCAATCAGCAGTCTCCTGGGGGCCGGGGGCTAAGCCCTTAACCCATTCCTTACCAGTGGGGTGGGGACAGAAGGGTCTAGCAAACCCTTTCCCAGTGGTAGCATAGGTATGCCTTAGCCTGTATTCGTCAGGCCATTTTATAGGTGGGGAGGATCAGCAAGGTCCCACCATATCCCTGAAGCCACGCAGCTACAGCATGGAAAAACTAGGGCCAGCTGTCAGCTTGCTATCCCCAGGGTCCCCAGGGTCCCTGGCACTCCTACCTCATTAATGTTCTCTAACCGGCAGATCCCCATTCTGGTGACATATGAGAGGGACCTGAGGTCCTGAGGGTTGGGTGGGATGTGGGCCCGACGAGGCACTAGCCCTAGATCCCCTGGCTTGTAGGTTGTGATGGCAGAGAGCTTCTGTAGCAGGGACGTGGCTCCCTTCCTGGATATCTGGGTGCTGAGTTGACTGTGGGAAGGAACTTGGAGTTATCACCTCCATCTCCACAAGAGGAGGCTGAGAACCCGAGAGGTTGGAGAGCCAGGGTCTGCTAAGTCCCTCACAGGGCTATCTGCTCACCTCTCTTTGGGTGGGCCTTGGGACTGCTTGTCCTGGTGGCAACCCACAATGAACTGTGCTTTTGAAAGCACAGCTGAGCTGAGCAGAGCCAGCAATTGCTGCAGCATCTCCTTGCGCTGCAGTTGGAACACCACGTCAAAGTCACCGTCCTCTGCATCTGTTCGCATCTGTTGGTGTGATGTAAGATGGTTAAAGACCATTGGCCCAGATACTCACCCTCCCAAGTGCTAGGATTAAGGGTGTGCTCTGCCATACCTGGCCTTGATGTTTTAAGACACTGAGTTGCCCAGGCTGGCCTTGAACTTTATCTGTAGCCCCAGTCAGGTCTTGAATTTGGAATTCTCCTGCCTCAGCCTCCTCCAGTATGATAAGACCCAACTTGTATTTATTTATTTTCGAGACAGGGTTTCTCTGTGTATCTTTGACTGTCCTTGAACTCAGAGATCTGCCTGCCTTTGCCTCAAGTGCTGGGATTAAAGGTAAAGGCGTGAACCACCACCGCCTGGCCAGAGCCAACTCTTGGATGGATCTTTGAGGTCCAGAATCAGAAAAAGTCAGTCCTTGAGTGTGGAGGGCTGGACCACATTCTCCATTGCTTCTAGGAACAAAGGTAGAGATTGACCTCTGTGACCTCAAGGTGTGGCGGTACACGCCTTTGGTCCCGATGCCTGGGAGGCAGAGACAGGCAGACCTCTGTGAGTTCAAGGTGATTTAGCACACGCCTTTAATCCCAGCGCACGTGCTTGGTAACTTGGTAGGCCGAGTCCCTGCCTACTAGGCATCACCTAGGATAATGGGCAGCGGACCAATCCAAGAGTGACACGTCAAAAGCGAGGACTGTTTCCTTTATAAGGGCTGGGTTCCCCTCATTCTGGGTCTCCGCTTTGGAAGCTGATGCTCTCCCTCTCAAGACGCATTAAAGCTTTACTGCAAAAGTATCCTAAATGCCCCGCGTCGTTCTTGCTGGCGAGAAGGTAGCGCGGGACACTTGAGTCTCTCAGGAAAGAGGCCCTCTAAACTTAGCCCCCGAGGCCAAATTTCTTGGGGTCAACTTCTATCCTTGGTCCACTGGCACCTTGGTGTCTCCCACCGCTTGCTCACCTGTACAATATCCTGTAGGAGCGAGGTGGCCTGGGCCAGGACTGTTTCCAGTTTGACCCGAACCTTCTCTTCCTCAGTCAGCTTCTCTTGTAGCCGATTCACCTCCACCCGCTGTTCCCTCAGCTGCTGTTCTAGCTGGTCCTTGTCACTCCTGGTCCAGGGCAAGAAAAAGCCCACAACTGGCCCCATCTGCCAGCAATGGCTGGCACCACCTCTTCCCTGGGCCCTAAATCCAGTCTTCAGCTTGTCTGATAGGATAGGCCAAACCCTGAGGCTGTAAATGGGAATTCCCTGGCAGGCTTCCACCCAAGTCACCTCAGGGTCTGGTTGTCCTCCTGTAGCTGCTGGAAGTTCTGTTCCAGTTGGGACAGCAGGAGGCGTAGCTGCTCCGCCTCCTCCGTGCCCTGCCTCTGCTGGCGGCACTTCTCTGTCAGCATGAGGATGACCTGCGGCAGTGGGCAGGTGTCTGGCGGGACCCCAGCCCACCTCTCCCTCCCTCCTGGAGATGCAGCTGGGAGCTTGCTGCATACAAGCAGCCTGGCACCACCTCTGGATAACAGCCAGGAGGTGGACTCCACTCATTATAGGGGATGTAAGGCAAACAGATTCCAGAGCTAGGGCCAGCATCCTCACAAGGGAAGCCTGAGCCCTTGCTGCAAACCCTCCCCACCTCATGACTTGGCTCTGGCATGGGGCCCACCCTCTCATTTCCTGTGAGGGCATGGTGGTCATACCTTCTTGTGGCCTTTGCTGTTTCTGGCCATGATCTCTTGGGTGCTCTCCAGCAGCTCCACCTGTTGGTACAGTTTATCCTTGATGCTCCTGAGCTGCTCATTCTCCTGAAGCAGCTGCACACCTTGCTGAGTCACCCAGGACAGCTGCAAAGTCACATTGTTGTTCTCTAGGATGGCCCGCCTGGTTGTCTCCCACATCTGGTTAGTGGCCACTTTACGGAACTCAGTGGCCACCAGGTTTACACGTTGGATGATCTCTTTCCTTAGCCTGACCAGGAGGGTGGGATTGGAAGGAAGTCAAGCAGATGGGTATAAGTCTTGTTACCCCCTTTTTGGGTGAGAATCTAAAAGTACCCAGGCATAGCCGAGTGTGGTGGCGCACACCTTTAAATCCCAGCACTTAGGAACCAGAGGCAGGTGGATCTCTGAGTTTCAGGATAGCCACAGATATGCAGAGAAACCCTGTCTTTTCCTCAGAGAATATCTGGGCCTTTGGAATTTGAACCATAGAAACACACTTAATAAATAAAGACAATGAAAGTAACAAGTGACCAAAAGACTGCTCAGTGCTGGTGCCGGGAACTGGCTGGAAGCTCTTTCCTCCTCCCCCATAAATCCCGGTCAGGGTTTTGGGGACAATCTGGGGAGTATGTGATGCCCTTCTAGAGAGTGAGAGAGCTGGAGACTGGTGTGTGGGCCCCAGCAGGTCCCCAGCCTGCCCACCTGTCCTTGTCCAGCACAGACTTCTTCTCCAGGTTGTACACATAGTCCTTGTATTCGCTCTCCTGCTTCTGCAGTTGCTCCTCCAGCAACAAGTACCTGTCTGTCAGCTCCTCTTTCTGCAGCCGAAATTCTTCCAGGGCAGCCAGCTTTCCCCCTACCCATCAAGGGCCACAAGGCTGGTGAGGAGCTGCATCTGAGCACCATGAGTTACACCCTCCGAGGTCTCAACTTTGTCCGTGTCTTCCTGCCCACCCCTCCCCACACCACGCTTTCTGTTCTGACAGGACTAGACTGCATGCACCAGAGCTGGCCCTGCACACACACAGCCTTTCTCTGGAGCGCGCCCCCCAACTTTGCTAGTCTCACCATGCCTTGTTCAGCCCATCTCCTCAAGATACCTCCCCACATGAGAGTAACATGTGGGCATGTGACCGCTACAGCTGAATCTGGGCATGGGTGACATAAACAAGACCCTCCATATTTTTTAAGCACTTCCTCATCTACAGACTGGGGAAGGGACATTTCTGGCCTTGGGAATGCATGGACAGTTAAGGCAGATAGTGTTTGAAGTGGCAGTTAGCTGTTATCCCCAATCCCCAGGTGAGGCCCTGTCTCAGTGACAGCTGTGGCTTTGGGCCTTGCAACCCTCAGTGGCAAATTCACACAGGTGTGCTGACTGGTTGGTCCCCTGGTCCCCTCACCAAGGGCGATGTTCTCTGTGGTGAGCTGGTCCTTGGTCTCCTGGAATTCGTGGCGCACCTGGGCCAGCTGTGCCTCGAAAGCATCCTTCTCCATCTCCTTTGCCAGCTGTAGGCTCTGCAGCTGGTCATTGAGGTCCGTGATCTCATCCACCCTCTGGTTGAGTGTGCGTTTGAGGAAGGCCACAATCTCTCTCTTGTTATTGGCCAGCTGCTCGAACTCCTGGCGGAAGAGCTTCTCTTGCACAGCCAGCTCATCCCACTTCCGCTGATACCTGGGGTGGGGTGGAGATGCGGGGTCAGGCCTTGCCGGGCCTGGTCACAGGCACCGTTGAACCTGCTCTTCCAGACCCACCTTTCCATCAAGGGCCATTTGGGGTTTCGCTTCGCAGCCTCATTTACTGTGCCTCATGCCTGGAGACCTTAACCTTAGCCTGTGTGAGCGAGCATGCGCGTGTGCGTGTGTATGGACACATGCGTGTGCACAGAAACCCTTGGTCAATGTTGAGTGTCTCTGATAGCCCTCCACCTTTAGTTTCTGAGGCAGAGACTCACTCAGTCTCGAGTGTAACAGTTTGACTAGGCTGGCCAGCCGGTGGGCTTCAGAGGGCCACCAGTCCTCTCCTGCCAGTAGTAGGGTTTAAGGGACTCTGCCATGCCTGGCTTTTTTTCAAGGCTTCTGGGGACCCGAACTCTAATTCTGCTTGGCAGGACTTTACTGCGTCATCTCCCCAGCCAGCGTTTTATATTTATTACCTCACTCAAATTTTTTTTTTTTTTTAGACTATAGTTCTGGTTGTCCTGGATCTCACTATATAGACAAGGTTGGCCTCAAACTCACAGAAATCTATCTGCCTCTGCCTCCTGAGTGCTGGGATTAAAGGTATGAGCCACTGCTCCTGGTTACCTCACTTGAATGTAAGTCCTGTAGGGACTAAGTCTGCCTTCTGCTCACAGTGGTAGCAGATGTTCCCATCTGTCTCTGGTTCACAGGAAGTCTGCATTTGTCCCCAGCAACACAGACAAGGAAACTGAGGCTCAGAGACGAAGAAACCAGAAAGCAACAGGACTAAAACTTTAACCCAAGCCAATCTGACCTGGAAGTTAAGGCTTTTACCTATAATGCCTGTCCCTGTAGTCAGCACATTCAAGCTGGCTAAGCCCTTCTGCATCTGACACCCCTGCCTCTGTATCTCAGGACCTAACAGCTTGGCAGATACTAAGCACCGAATAACTTTTTCCTGATACAATTCCATCTGTTGTGTTAGATCAAGGGACATTTGTAAATTTTAAGAATACCATGTTTATTGGTTTCAGTGGGAGAATTAAAGCATTTGGAGAGTTGTTTGATTCCTAAGTGTTTTAAGTATTCATTAGTCTTTTGAATGAATTTCTATGTACAAGGCATTTTTAGGGTATAGGTGCCTGTGTGGGGAGAGAAGTCAGCCTGCTCCAGGAGTCAGAGAGGCCAGAGCTGTCACCCTGCTTCCTCCTCTCCCTGGGGTGACTTCCTCTCTGAGCCTCAGGATCTGGCTGCACTCTCTGCTGGGACTGGAAGGAAACAGGGAGACAGCAGAGGGCTTCCCGAGTGCACAGACTCAGCACTAGCTGAGATTTTTCTGCAGCATCAAATCATGAACAGCTCAGCCTTCTTGCATTTTCCCTATATATTTACTTATTACAGATGTGTGGTATTCATGCATATATGCATATTCACATGTGTGTATATGTATGGACGTAAGAGATTGACATTTGCTGAGATCCCCAATGACATGTAAGGATGCAGATGCTGTGATAATTATACCCATTTTATAGATAAGGGAAGTGAGGTTTTCCACTTTATATATTGAAGCAGGGTCTTCTACTTGAACCCAGGACTCAGTTCATAGTCTAGCTGGTTTGTTTCTAGGGGACCCTTTATCTCTGCCTCCCAGGGACTGGGATTATACCTACTCATTTGCATGGGTGCTGAGGATTCAAATTCCAGCCTTCACATTTGAGTGGCAGGCAGATGCTTTAGCCATCTCCCCAGCCACCTACGTTTCTTTCTAAGTAGGAGTGTGACTCTGGCACTGGGGCAGAGCTTCATAGTCAGCAAGGTAGCTTTTTCTGGGGGATGGGATTTAAGACAGGGTTTCTCTGTGTAGTCCTGGCTGTCCTGGAACTTACTCTGTAGACCAGGCTGGCTTTGAACTCAGAGATCTACCTCTGCCTCCTGAGTGCTGGGATTAAAGGTGTGCACCACCACCACACGGCAGAAGCTCTATTTTTACAAACATTTTTATCATATTTTATTTATTGACTTGTATGTGCATGCATGTGGCCATTGTGTGCAGGTGGTCCTTAGTTCTCCATTCGAGTCCTGGGGGATGAGTGGCAAGTGCCGCTGAGCAATCTCACTGGCCCTACAAACTAGTTTTTGTTTGTTTTTTAAATTTATTTACTTTTGTTTAATTTCCATTGACATTTTGCCTTCATGTGTGTCTCTATGAGGGCATCAGATCCTGGAGTGACAGACAGTTGTGAGCTGCCCCATGGGTGCTGGGATTGAACCCGTGTCCTCTGGATCAGTAGTCAGTGCTCTTAACCACTGAGCCATCTCTTCAGCCCCCAAAACTAGTTTTAAAGTAAGAAAAATGAGCAAATACAATGTCTATTATTAAATGTTAAGAGGGTCCTTTCCCTGCCATTTTTGTCACATACAAACCCAGCCTTAAGAGGGAAAGCCCCATGTAGAAAAGTCCCCCCTCCTTTTTTTTTTTTTTTGATTTTTCAAGACAGAGTTTCTCTCTGTAGCTTTGGTGCCTGTCCTGGAACTCACTCTTGTAGACCAGGTTGGCCTTGAACTCACAGAGACCCGCCTGCCTCTGCTGGGATTTAAGGCGTGTGCCACCACCGCCCAGCAAAGATCCCCTTTAGTTCCCATTTAGGGACCTTCAGTGGTTCACAGTTGTAATCTCAACAACTGGGAGACTGAGACAGGAGGATTAACATGAATTCAAGGCTACTCTGGGCTGTAGAGTAAGACCTGTCTATAAAGCAAAGCAAATACGAGTAGGGAAACAGGCTCAGCCTAGAGAAACAAACACACTGGATCTTGCCATAAAGAAAGAGGGAACGAGTGACCTCCTCAGCCACCAGGGGGAGCCATTTCTAATTTATTTCACTAATTTAACTACAAATGCTTAAGATCCATTCTGAACCCTTGGGAGGCAAAGGTAGATGAGTTCGAGGCCAGCCTAGTCTACAGCGTGAGTGTCAAAACAGCCAAACCTACACAGAGAAACCCTGTATCAAAAAAGCAAAAACCAATCAAACAAACTAAAAGTTCCCATCCTGCTGGGGTAGGGGTTGAGGAGGGGGTTACCTGGGACAGGTTAATGCTAATTAACAGTGTACTAGCCAAGCTCTGGGAGCTGTGAAGGATTGGGGAGATCCATTCACCTCTTAAGGTGGTACCTGTTTACTTGAGGAGTCCAGAACCCAGCTCTAAGGCCCCTGTCTGAGCCTGTGTGGGCTTCTGACCTGGCACACTAGCATCCCTGCCACCCACCCACCGGGCCAGCCGGTCCTCCAGGTCTTGGATCTGTTTGTGGTAGAATTCCTTCAGCTCCTCCACCAGGGTGGACTTCTCAGACTTCACGGCCGCACTTGTGTCCTTCTTGCCCCCTTTCTTCTTCTTGCCCTCAAAGTCTTTGCCGCCTTTGTTCAGCTTCTTTTTAGGAGCCATGGCTGATGGCAGCCACTGCTTCCAAGTCTCCTTTAAGAAGCCAGGTGGTTGCTAAGGAAGTTGGATCTATACATAGCAACAGCCTAACAGAGTGAGACTGGGTTTTAAAGGGCCACTGTCCTCTTGTGGGCAGGGAGCCTGTATCTGTTCAGTGCCTAACCTTTCAGAGCAGGATGCCAGGCTAGTGGGTACAAGTTTGTTTTCCATGAAGACCTTACCTTCCCCAAAATGGAAATAATGTGGTATATTGATTACAGTCATCAAGAGCCCTAGAAATCACTAGCCTGTCACTCTGAGACTTTGGGTAATCAGAAGTTGGAAGACTAGCCAGGTAGAACCTCTTCATAGACTTTTAGCTAAGACCAGAAGACTCAATCACTGGGCCCCATGCTAGTAAGCGCCTCCCCTAGACCATCCTGCCAATCCTTTAGTGGCACAGCCACACAGCATCTTCTATTGGAGGCTCCAAGGCTGCAGTCCTGGGATATCCTTGAAGCTTAGCGGTAGGGTGCATCTGTTCCTACTACCCCACGCAGATGAAGTTCTTTCTGTAGCTTTGATCTTGACTGTACCGTGATAGGGAGGGAAAGCCCCTGGAGTCGAGGAGACATCATGCAAGCATGGGACTGGGGACAGTAGGTATCCAGCTAGCAGATGCCCTGCTGGCCCCTTGGGTCTCTGTCCTTTCAGCACGGAGCCATCTTATCAGTCACATTGGGCTCCTTTCAGTTCGTGTTTGTCTGCTCCTTAGTCCCCAGGCATGTCTGGGGTCCGTCATCTTCAATGATGACTGAGACTTAGTGGGTTCACTATGAGGGGGACTCAACTTTGGGGATGTTACAGGAGGGACCATCCATCATAAGCAGAGGACTAGAGGGGATTCCACTCAGGGCTGCCTGATTCTCCCAGCCACGGTCATTCTGACTCCATGAGAGTGAACGCCTGGTGTCACACACAGCTGGGCACCTGGAAGGACAGAGGGAGCAGCCACATCTCATGGCCTGGGTTCTGGGGTTACTGGGCTGGTCGCTCGGAGCCCTGGGATGCTGGGGACTAGGGCTGCGGCAGAACACAGCACCACTTTGCTGCTTGGTGGGATCAGGGTGGAGAGGGCCAAGGGAAGTCGGGGGAAAAAACAAAACAGAAAAACACAAGAGAGTAGCCAAGTGTGGACATGCACACCTGTGATCTTAGCGGCTTGAGGGGTGAAGGCAGGGGGAATACAAGTTCAAGGTCAGCCTGGGCAACTCAGCAAGGCTCTGTCTCAAAATAAGAAAGCATGGGCCAGCAATATGCTCAGTAAAGCATATATGAGCTTTTTGTGCCCAGAACCCTGGTGGAAGGAAAATGGATTCCTTGAAGTGGTTCTCTGAGCTCCTCCTGCATACCACTGCACATGCCCACAGCGACATGAAAACAGCGATGAGCAAGAGATCAAACCCTGAAAACCAGCAGAAAGAGGTTAAAGAGTCATTCCCATTGTGTGGGGGACAGGTGACCCCGGGGAGAAGGAATAAACGGCATTTACTCTGCTTCAACAGTTACTCGGTGTAGAATTCAAGTCCGTGTTGGATCTTATTCCAGGCACTCTGCTGACTGGACATGCTGGCTGGCTGAAGTCTTCCAGGAGCGAACATTGTGATCCCCCTACCCCAAGCTTCAGCTTCCTCACCTGCGCAGCAGCAGGGACCAAGGAACCACCTACCACACGCCTAGGAGAGGCCGGGCATGATTGCGGTGCGGTCTTCGTCACTGCCGACAAGGCGAGTCTTGCTGGAGCTGGGTGGGATGTGCCATGGACTGTCCTCCAAGCCAAACTGCCACCATTTCAGACCTGCTTGCAAAGATCATTTTAGCTGAGCTTGTTGACTGTTGACCTTCCCTCACAGGAGGAGATGGGGGTCACTGGACCCACCTGTACATCCAGCCACCCCCACCCCCCAAGCAGCTGTATGCAATTCTGCCCTAACTGCACGTGGCCTCAGGATCTTGGGAAGGGGCTCCATCTCATTTCCGGTGAGGTTGCTTTGGGTTTTCCCATGCTCCTGTTTGTAACCTCGGACTCAGGCTCTGTGAGTATGGTCACCAAACTCCCTGGTTCCCTGGGGGTGGGGGACCTTTGGTAGAATCAAACTTGGGTTTGTCATTGGGACCTTAGAGACGTGGGTAGTTGTTGCTTAGTCTGCTCCCCTACCTCCACCACCTGGGCAAAGATACTTGCTACATATGCAAGATCTACAAAGTAGCCTTGAGTTGATCCATTCCTCCATGCAGTGAAGGTATCATTTTCTGTTACCCAGGCAAGATAATGTATACAGGGCTTTATGTAGTTGACTTAAAAAGATTTATTTTTGTGTATATGGATGTTTTGCCTGCATGTCTATGTGCAGTGCTGATGGATGCCGGAAGAGGGAGTCAGATCTCTGGGAACTGGAGTTACAGGAAGTGTTGACTCACCCCGCGGGTGCTGGGAATCCAGCTCCAGACCTCTGAATAATACATGTTCTTAGCTGTGGGGCCGTCTTCCCAGCACTAATCAGCTGCTTTTCATTGTGTTTTGTGGTGCTGGGATAAAGTTTGAGGCCTCACACACCAGGTTAATGTTCTGGCTGGCTTCGGA